TCCAGCTGAGAACTTTGACTGCAATTCTTCTAGACCTTCTGCTCCTCTCGTGATCACTCTGCGCCACAATAAATGAAAATTCCGAGCTGTCAAAAAGGGAAATCGCGGTAAATCAAATCCTTGACTTGGAGAATGGCGCAAGGCAACGGAAGAGCGACCCTCCACAATTCGCTTTAAGTTTCAACTGCATGTCGCACATGTTTGTAGCACTATTTATAACACCCGATCCCCTTCTCCTGAAATTCTCCCCTCCATCAACTCTCCGCTTATCGCTCTGTGGTTCATTAAAATCCAAGAAGCAGAGCGAAGAGAACGAGACACAGGCTGCACAATTAAGTATGGTAGAGAAGATCCCGTCTTCAAGTTCCTCTGCCACTGCCAGAGTTGATAATAAAAATTCCTCTCGCTCTTCATCGTTTCGAGGCGCTTCTTGCACGTCTATTCATAGAGTTGTTTTCTAGTCATGATGGAATGGCTTTGGGTCGTATTTTTAGATACGCACAGCAGTTGCAGAGCGCCTTTGAAATGTATCTGGCGGATGCAACTTAGCGGCCGTGCCTAATTCAAGAATCACAAAGATTCCGACGGGATGTAAATGCAAAGAAAATACCGAAAATAACCAAAGTCCAAAGTTGTCACTCTGGACTTGGCACAAATTCAGAATGCAGCTTCGCGTATCCCGAAAATACTTTCAGCGCTGCGGCGATCATTCCAAGCGAGTTAATCACCTCAATTATAAGGTGTCTACGCTATTGGCTAACAAATTTTTAATTGCACACGAATTTTGGAAGCAATCGAATGTTTGCATCTTTGGTGTCCTAAATACTTTTGTTGGCACTAATTTTTGGTAAGGAATTTTTTTTTAAGATTGCCTATCTTCAAAAACAACCCTCGACTTTGTACAATGTCATCTAAGACTTGGTCCCTGCAGAAATACTTTTTAAATTTAATAACTTTTTACCCCATAAATGTCGTTTACAAACAACCTTTAGCTAAGTGTAGAAATCATTTCTAAATATAGACCCAATTGAATTCGCTCTTTTTTGTCTTGAGTTCCAATTTATAATCACTTTAGAGCTTAATGGGTTGAAAATGGAGAAGAGGCGGCGGCCGAGAGAATCCTAAACCGCTTAGTGAATAAGCCAAACAAGATCTGTAGACACCTCCCCAAGACACACCCCTTCTCTATCGACAAACGCTGAAAAATGCGAAACTATTTAAACAACAAGCGAACCGGTTCCCAATTTGCTGTGTAAATTTTTTGTTTTGTCTACTGAATTCAAGGTTAATTTTAGATGCAAAATAAATAACGCTGAGACTTACAAATTAGTTCCCGTTTAATACAAAGAAATTAATTTTGTGCTGGAAAATAGAAATTAAATAGCGGCCGGCTAATGATTGACTTTAGCAGCTGACACAGTGGCCAAATGAGATTTTCGTTTACAGATAGTTTGACATAATTTGTAGGCGTGTTTTTCCTACCCCGCCCCCCGATCCCAGCCGTGAAACATGCAACAAACAGTTGCATGTTCGTGTGCGTCAAAAGAAGCTAAGGAGAAAAACACAAGCTTGATGCGGAAATGCAGATAAAAAATCAAAGAGACGGAGAAAATTGAGAGAAAAACCTTTGGAAAATTAATGAGCTGCAAGCAATGCGGACATCGTTAAGGGGGAAAAGATTTTTTCGGGAAATCTCAAAAAGGAGAAGGCAGAAGACGAAGGAGAGAGGTCAATATTTGGACACCTAAAATACAAAAAAAAAAGTAAAAGTTACACGCTGGAAAAAAGGAAAGGGGAAATCTTCACCTCAAATCAATCGACAAATTGAAAACCCGTCAATGATTTAGCCACACGTCAATGTACACTATTAATTTATCAAATTCAATCCCAACAAAAGCAAAAGCAAAGACAAATTTTGTTCGACAGAACGCAGTGATTTATAATGTTATCGTGTACATAATATTATTATTACCTATTCCAACAAAAAAACTTAAAAACTAATTTAACTTTGCCTAGAGAAACGATTTCCCAATAGGAAAAACAAAACCAAGGCAAAAGCTATAACAACAACTAAGGCACAACAAAATTACCAGGTAAACGTTTCGCTTTTCATTTTACACCTTCCACAGAAACACAACAGCAGACAACCATCAATTGCCTCTCCCCTTCAGCCATTCAGCCCTTCCCCATTAACCCTTCATTTTCCGCTGGTTGTAAACAAATCAAAAGGAGGTCAATCCATATTGGCAGAATAAAGTGGAACAAACAACAATATACTCGTACAAGAAGAACAACTACATTTGTTTGAAGATGAAATGTTTACAGAACTTCGACAGACGATTGCAAAATCCCAAATGCAAAGTGGGATCACTTAGCGAGAATTTGAAGAAGGCGAGAGTATTTAATGATTTCCGCAATAAACTGTGCAAGTTCTGATGCATATATTTAGTGCGGGAAATCTTGCGGAATGATTTCGCCCTTATATAAATCTTTTAATTAAGAGTTGGCTGGGGTTTGAGGAAAGGAATCCCAGATGAGATCACGCCGTTGAGCTTGGTCAGCGAAGCAAGTGAATCAGTGATCAGGAATGCTGTAATTAAAGTGAGAAGGAAGAAGCAAGAGCGCTTTTATCGGGTGGAAAATAAAAGTAAGGGAGTGGATAACGTATAACAGTATAGCATACAGTAAACACCCTGTCCGAAGAGGGGATGAAAGGGAGGAAGGTTGTGCATTGATCCAATAAAGGGTGGGCGAGGGTGAGCATCAAGAATGAGACCAACAAGGCAACATGAATATACTGCAACTGGGTGAACACAAAAAACATTCTTTACGAAACGTTACAGTGGATGTTTTCCCCTAAATATATTTTTCTAGGAAGTTTAAAAGTTTGTTTAAATATATTTTTTATTTTTTGACGAAGAATAAAAATAAACTACATACACATGGTTTTTAACCATTTTTTGTATGTATTTTGCTTTTATATTTCTTACTTTTTGGAATTCCAAAGTAAAATAATTCAAAGAAAATAAACATAATTGCTGCGGACCTTTGAAGTTTCATTCTCAAATTAGTTCCAAAATGAGGAAACAAAAGTCAAGAAGTCTGGAGATGATCCAGCAAAAACTACTAATGTCATGCTCTATTTTCCCAAATGAATAACCAATAGTGTGTGTTTTTCTGACCTTAATTTGGCTTACAAAAAATTACAGGAAAACAGTTAGAGCTTAAGAATTTCGAGTGCACTCAATTGTGTTAATCGAATGTGAATATAACAGATTAAATACTGACAATCATTCCTTAAGATTTCTATAATTTCCCACTTCCTTCTAGATGATTTTTGTTTCCCTCTTTATTTTCCCCAAAATTTAATGAACCCCAAATAGTGAGGAAGAGAGATCGGGGTCCAAAATCTCGTTAAAAGATTCGTTTGTACCTTTGGTTAGGCAATTTGGCTCTAAACTGACCTAAACCATCCCACTATTAATGAGCCATTAACACGCTTATCTCACACGAAGAAAAAACATGGTTCGGAGCTCAAAAAGACCTGGCCAAAATTGGCCACGCACATGAGATGGGATTTTTTGGCCCAAAGAGACTCGGCACGTGAGCGTTAAAAGCCAAAACACTTTGGGGTCAAGCCGCGGAAAATGAAAATGAAAGAGCCAAGCGACGCGGCCGCGGAAAATAATATGAATTTCCTCAATTAGATTTCCCAGTCGCTGACCCCAAACTAGGAAAAATCGAAGGGAAACCGGGGGAAAAGACGAATGCAAATCGCATTAAGACGAGCACTTAATCTGCTCCAAGGCATCGCCTTAACCCCGCCCGAAGGAAAATGGCGAAAAACTTTTGGCGGAGAGGGTGGGAAATCTAGGAAGAGGGTACTAAAATGTTGCCTCAAGCGATTTTCCATTTTCTGCTGGGTCACCGGGTCAGCGAGTGGGCGAGCGGGAAATTAGGAAAACGCTAGAGATGAATGCAATATGGAAATCAATAAATAAAAACTATATTTTCATTCAAGTGGTTAGCCAGGAAATGGCTGTGGGAAAAAACTCTTGTCGCAACCGAAAAGTCGCTCTACACTTCAAAGGGAAATAAAGTAAATAAAAAAGAGGGGAGCCTCGGAACTCTAAAAAAAAAATTGTTTATCCAGACTGAGGTTGATATTGAAGTGCGAAGGAAAAACTACTTTAAAATAAAGGACTCCTTTAAGAATGCACTGTTACAAATATGTAGCAACTTTCCTTAATTTTGCATTACCATACAATAACTTAATAAGAAACAAAAATATTTCAGAAGTATAAGTCGAAGAAAAACAAGTTTATCCTTTCTCTGGTTAGGTCACAATGTTTGTCACATGCTTTCTTTTTTTCACATCAATCGCATTTTTCCACTTTTGAGCCAATTTTTCAGCTGTCTGCACTTTACCAATAAAAAACCGACCGATTGTTAGATAAATAAAAACCAACCCACGCAATAAATAAAAACAACAACAATTTAAATGCACAGTAACACATACACCACAGCGAAGAGAGTGAAAAGGTGAGAGAGAAGAGCGGAAGAGAGCTAACATTATCGCAGTTATTACGAAATCTCAATCGAAACATAACGGTAGATAGCAAAACCACCAATACATTAAAAATGAATTCGGATCAAAAAAGGGAGGGGTAGTGGGGGAGTGGGTGGCTGAAGAAGAAAAACAAACGATCGCTCTGTTTTTCTCTCTCCCTCTCACACTTGCTGACTGCACAAATTGCAGTTAAATGAAAGAAGAAGAACGACAAGAAGAAAGACAAAGCATAAGAGTAACTGGCTAACAAGAAGAAGAGAACCAGAAATCAAGAACAAAATAGAAGAAAACACACACACACTTATATGTATGTAGAGAAAACAGGAAGAGTGGCAAAAAGAGAGACGACGAAACATTCTCCTTTTATTTTTTGCCATTTTAGTTTAACACTATTTCATTTAATCATTAATCAGCTAAAATACAAACCTACTTGAGTTTTTGGCAGCCACGCATGCGTCAAATGAGAACTACTGCTCCTACAGACTCCAATTGGAATTTGTACCCCGGCTGCAAAAACAGTTTTTTTTTGCTTTTGCTTTACTTCCACACGCACACACAGATATGCAGCGGCACATACAAGTGCACGCACTGCAATTGGCTCGGTTTCTATTTTAAATCTAAACTTTATTTTAGTTTAGGGCCACCATATTTGTGTTGTTTTTCCACCGATTTTCCCACTTTCGCTGATTTTATTAACTTTTAAGCCTGTTTTTCTTCGGCTTATAGTTTTCACATGCACTTTTTAGCGACGCCAACACACACATGCACACGCACACACATGGCGAGGATGAGCGAAAGAGAGAGAGCAAAACACCGATTTCCGTTGCTTACTTTTTCGCTTTATTCTTTTTGCCGTTTTTATTTTTTATTCTGGATCTTTTTGGCACTTTTAGCGGCTAAATTGTTGGCAATTTACTTGGGTACAAAGAAAAACATCGAATACGGTTTGAGACGCGGACTATACGTTGAAAACTCGAACAATTTAACACAAAACGAAATTGGCTTGGCCCTGCGGTTTTGGCCTTACCCTTTTTACGGGGTTTTTATCCGTTCATCACTGATACAATGCGCCGCACATTTATTTGTTTATCATGTCGCAAATTTTGTTCGATTTGCTCAGCACGCGCGCCGCGAACCTCCCGCAACAAAAATAAAATTTAGAGTGACCGTCATGCAAATGTTTAAAAACAGCCACGACCAAATTAGAGGGACCAGAGAGAATCAGGACAAATGCCAGGCCGTAGTCGATGGTTGGTTCAAAACCCCGATAATGAGATGAGGCTGATAAGCCTAGACTCACTCATTTGTACACTGGCAGAAACGCACGCCACTATATCTGCGAAAAAAATTGTTTTCATTGCTTTCCGATATTTGTCGGCTGGTGGCTTTTTAGATTCTCCTCAAGAACACCCATGGTAAATATCCCCAAAATTCGATACATAAATCCATGTGAAAACTTTTCATTGCCCGGTTTTTGAATTGAAAAGCCGTTTTCAGTTCTTTTCTGATAATTTTGTGTTTTGTATTTGTTATTTGTTGTTGTTTTTTGTTTCTCTTTCTTTTTTGCTCTTTTCTTTTGTATGTTTTTTTTAATTTTGTTTACTTTGATAGCGTTTGTTTCCATATACACAAATACATTTAAGTATATAATGATACACACATATCGCGCATATTAAATCTTGTTCGTTTCATATATAGACATTTATTTGTAATTGTTTGTTGTGGCTGTAGATTACTACACGTTTATCCTTTTAGGCGTATTTACGAGAGTATGTAATTATCATAATTTATATGCGTTCGCATCTGTGAGTTGGTGTGTGTGTGTGTGTGTGTGTTGTGGCTTTTTGCTAAGTGTTCTACCTTCACAATTCTTATTCATCCGTTTGTATATATTCTCTTTAAAGTGTAAAGACACTAAATTTCACAATGTTCGATTTGTTGCTCTCCATGGGCTTCCAGGAGGCAATCCCCACCCCCGAGAATCCTCGAGGATGGGGTGGGGGGTTCCAAGCCGGAACTGGCCAAAAATCATCTGGGGATCTACTATGTTTGTATGTATGTATCTGTGTAAGTTGGTTAGTCGTGTGGCGTGTCTATGTGTCTGAGAATCTAAATAATTTATGAAAATGCTCGGGCTTACATATTTGACGACCCATGTATGTATATAGTTTCTATATCGATATAGACGTGTTATAAAATCTCTAAACAGCCATAAAAGTCAAAAGTTCTTAATCATATCTATCAATTAACTAGACGCGTTTACTCTGCCACTAAGTTGACGTAACTTGAGTTAATGTATCTTTAATCCGTACTTTATCTTTATCTTAACTGCTGCCTAATTCTCTTGAAATCGGAACTCGATTGTTACAGGTTAATCTGTTGGTGAGGGAGGGAACTCTATACATAAATACAAAGGTTGCGGCTCAATTCGTTATCGTTAGTTCGATCGAATTTGGATTTTGTTTGCTTTGGTTTGGTCTCGAAACTTGTGATTCAAATTACTCACTATGGCTACGATTACTTTGTATCTGTATTTGATAAATTAGCTGGCCTCCTTCTCTCTGGAGCCCCTCAAAAAGGTACGCACATCCGATTAAGACATAGAGATATATACTTATTACTTCGCGCATATATATTTTGATTCGCATAAAACTAAACGCTAGTATCGATAGCTTATCAAGTACAATGCTAAATGTATCGGTGTGCTTGGTTTTTGATATAAGTTTGAATTTCATTATCCGTTCGATTTCGATTTCAGTTTCCTTACGCCTAAATAAGAGAGGACACCAAGTAAAAACATTCAGTACACATTCATGGAGATACGAGTAGAGTTCAAAAAAGTCGATTAAGTACGATTAGAGTTTGGTGTGATTGTGTGTAGGTGAATACTTGGAGTAGTTGGTGTTGGTGAACGTTCAATGAGTTGGTGCTTAATGTCCAGTGTTGGTGAATCGTTAGTGCGTAATGGTGAGTTGACCTTGACATCTAGAAGTGTTGGTGGTGAGTTGACCCCGACGCCGAGGTGGGTCAGGGTCAAATCTCTTCGTTGGCGATCGAAAACATTCAATTTCTTGGGGTTGCGTTCTTGGGACAGGAGCTTCTGGTTCCACTTGCCCGGCAATTCGTTGTCGTCTAACCCATGGATCCCTCGATCAAATCTGAGCTCGGGGATTGGTAATTGGTAATCGTAATCTTAGGAAGGACACTAAAGGTGCGACGCGAGTCAAGATATGAATACGACTTGGTGCCCACGCAAAAACAAACATTACATCCTAATGAGTTAAGTGGTGAGTGGTTAAATGGCTGTGTGGATGTGTGGATGAGTGGTTTGATTATCCGTCTTTGGTTGAATTCGTTCTCTTTGTATCGAATGCAAAGCCTGGCCTCTACTCGCTATGATCGCTAAATATTCTGTATAAGGATATCCGTATTCTCTACTCGAGTTCGTATATAAAAATATTTAAATTCTTTAATCTGAAACGCGCAATCGCCAAAGTACATCTAAGTATTTTTTCGCACATGTCGCATATAAAAAGCAAATTCCGTAAAAGTGCTCTCTCCGCTCCGATCTATTAAAACATATATTGTTTCGATTTCGTTTGCATCACCTAATGACCACGTTTCGCTCTGGCGTTTTCAATTTGTCGCTTGTTTTGAAATTAGCAAAAGGTACGATCATTTAAATTCAATATCTTTACCGTTACCGTTACCGTTAGCGTGTATATGTGTCTATGAGTACGATCTCAGCTCTAGCTGCTATTTATCATATTTCGTGTATACATAATATATATAACGTATATTGTTGTCTGTTGTTTGGTTTTTCGTTTTTCATTTTTGTTTTGTTAGGTAGGAAATATGCTAGTCTTATAAATTTCACACATCAACATTTCGGTTATCGTTATGATCTCTCCTCCTCCTTCGCCTAGGAAATAATTTCTTATTTAATAAAATATATCCGCGTATATGTTAATAGAGTAATCTGTAATAATCTGTTTGTGTGTTAAAAACATCTAATGTCAATCCGAACCACAATTTTAAGAGAGTTTTGGAAAGTTCTTCAAGTGAAGGAAACACGAAGAGTACGAGTATATCGATATCGTAATTAAGTTAGTTACTGGTAGCCTACTAATTAATCGGTAAGTATTCGGTATTATCCGGAATATTATCCGTATCATTATGCTAAGTTGGAGAGGGCCCCTGCTAATTGTTTGCTTCTCGCTCCAGCTGTCCGAAGTGCGTGTTTCAGTTGTTCAGGTCCAGCTCAAACGAAAGAAATCTAATTATGGACGGGTTCTTATCAATCTTGTTTGTCAACTCCTCAATACTCCTCCCTCCACCCATCTGATCAATGCAGACTGGATTTAATTTCCGGTTCCCCGGTTTCGGATTCTGTTTCGGTTTCGGTTTCGGTTCAGTTTCAGTTTCGCTTGCTCTGTTTTGGTAAATGCAAAACAAAATATCTTTACTTTCCGGTAAAAGCTCATCAATTGTTGGTCGATCAAACAACTTCGTGGGGGGTGGTTCAAGGGGCGTGGCGGGGCGTGCGAAATCAATCTATAATCTGCAGAAACCTGGTTGGTCTTGAACTAAATCTAAATCAGCTGAAGCTAGCCTCTTTTTTGGGGGATTCACTAGACGCTCCCCAGCACTAAAACTAAAACTAAAACTAAATTGTTGCACAATTGCTTTGACTGGCTAACCGTTATCGTTAATCGATATTATTGCACAATAACTACGATTCTTATCAAGTTCATTCACTAATCGTTTAAACTTAAAAGTTATTTACTCCTTTGTAATTTGGTGGGATATATGTTGTATTTGTTGTTGTTCATCATCATCATCATCTCCGTTTGTTTTTGATTAACTTGATCTTAAAAGCACTACAAAACGAAAAGAAAACTAAAGAAACCAAACAGAACTGAAGAAAAACGAAAATTACATTATCTGTTTATATGTATATATTTACGATTTCTGTATTTTGTAGGACATAAGTAAATATAAGCATATGTAAATATGGTAATAGTAAGCAATATATATGATTTATGTTGTGGCTATGTTCCATTATACATTTAAAGGCGCATATTAAACAAAGTTAAGCAAAGAAACAAGGTAAATAATAAGTGTGTAATTTAAAAGATTAAAATAGTAAAGTAAAGGCAACTCGACCTCGGTTTGATTAAACAAGTACATATGAAATATTGTAGTAAACACCGATTAGCATTTATCGCTATTTATCGCTTTATAGTATCGTATATCATCTTTTTTGTTGGAAATCGAGAGGACGACGAGTACAAATATTAAGGCTACACAGTTAAAACATTTCTCGTTTAAATATATACGTATATATTAGAGTGTTTGTGTGGATCTCTCAGATCGCCACCTCTAAATCCCTCTTAAATACAAATTCTCGGACAGTGGGCCACAAAAGTCTGCGAACGACGGAGCCCACTGCCGCTTATTGAGTGTGAGTTTGTTTAATATAAGTTTAATTTGTTTGTTGTATTCTTTAAATATAAATGTAATTTGTTGTTTGTTAATATAAATTTAATTTGTCGTTTAATATAAATTTAATTTGTTTGTTGTTTTCATAAGTCTATTAACGTTTCGTTTTTGTTACATTTAAAGCGTTCTTGATTTGTTTTCTTGTTTTTGTTTTACGATTTTGTTTTACGATTTTGTTTTACGATTTTGTTTTTCGGTTTTGCTTTCTTTTGATGCTCCTAACATTGAGTAGAAAGTGAAGAAAAGTTCCTCTGCCCTCGCAGAAGGTTAGCATATTCGTTACAATTTTACAATAAATTTCGCACACTGAGCGGTGCAGGACAAGAAACACAAATCGGAAACACAGATCGCCACTTTTCCGCTGACATACTAATCGGTCGGTCACACAGCTTTTTTGTTTTGTTTATTCAATATCCATGCTTATTTAACTATGTATGTATTCTAGTTGAATGGTCCATAAAATTTCTATAAAAAAAGAACTCGTTAAATACATCTAGGTCTATTATCTAGATAAGGTTCTCTCGACTTTAAACAGAATCTTAATCCGCCGAGTTGGGCTTTTCGTTATTGTTTATTACAATTGTTAGCTGCTGGTTGCCGTTATTGTTTATACACAAAATATATCCATAATATAAATGTACTCGAACCACGTCTAAGTCTAGTTCTATATATATTTGTTTGCATTTACTCGTATATATTCACAACACTAACGTTTCTTAATTACTCCTACGCATGCTATATGCTATATCGTACGCTTCATCCTTCTTTTTCTACTACAAAAAGTGTTATTTTTATTTCTCTGCTGTTAAAAAGTTAATTACTTGGTTAAAAAAACGATTTGTTGTCGTGCTAACGCTATTGAATCCTGCACACTAATTAGTTAACACATAGATGCATATTCAGTATCCGTATCGCATTGGTTATTTATAATTTTAGGTAATTTCTATTCGCCGACGACGACTGACAAAAAACGTTCGCGCATTTCTCTGCTTTCTGTTAAAACTACATCACAATAATTATATGCTATATCCTTTCCGTCGGAGTTTGTTAATCCCGATCCCGAAATCGCCTACTGTACACACAGCTGAACTAGGAAGGGGCAAAAGAAAAAAAATGGGGCTGGTGCTGATTTCACGATTGCCAGTTACTCAGTTTATTATCAGTTTTAAAAAGTTAGGGATCAGATAATCCTCTTCTTTTCTCGACTCGTAAAAATTTCTTGAGTGCCTGATCAAGAGTAACTATCTGTTCGAAAACCAAAGTACCTTCATATCTCTTTCTCTGAAGGAGAACAAGAGTTCTAATAAAATGTTAACCGGCACTCGGGAAATAGCTCCCCTTATAACCCTCCGAAAAAATAACTCGAGTTCGGGAAACCAGTCACTAGCCGGTTAAAAACTCCTGCTTTGTGTCAGTATGGATTTCTTTATATAGGAATTGGCGTCCTCCCAAGACCGAGTTCTGATTACCTTGTTGGGTTTACTCAGAAATCGACCCGAGGGGAACGAAGATTAGTTGCTCGGTTATTTTATACGCGACAAGTTAAGTTAAGTTCTAACTACGAAATACTTTAGGAAACCTATTTAACAAGATTTAGTTTATACTTTGTGTATAGGATAAGTGGGCGTGTTTAAAGTAAGCCAGGTTTGTACATATCAAACTTGCATCTATATTTACAGATTCACAGATCTCTCTGGGGAAAAAGCCTAAAACAAGGGTTGTAGTAGGGGCAACTCTAAAGCCTAAACTGCTAGATTGCTTCTTATTTAGTTGTTGGGTTTTGTACTTTAGTAAACTTTCTCATGCGCTTCTCTAGTCGAAAGAATAACTAAAACGCAGATCTCGTTTGGGACACACATGGGTTAAAAGTAGGGGGTGTGGAGTCTAAAGTGAAACGTGCGGCAGACTAACTTGCGCTGATCAGTTTAAAATCGGGTTTCGTGGGCTCCGGCTAGCTCTATTTAGATATATCTACGCGTATATTTACACTGGTTCCTATAGTTATTTGTTGTTGCTTGTCGTTAAACATAATTTAGAATCGTTACTTGTATCTTGTATCTGGTATTCTTTCGCTTTCCTGGCTATTCCTATGAGTGAGTTACGAGTGTGTAAAAAAGTTCGCCTTCTACCGATCTATCCTCTACTATATCTATGAGCTATGTAATTGTTAGTTCCCCTCGTGTTGATATCGCCCGGGGTTATCTATTTAATTTATTTGCTTTTTGTTTGCTAGTAAGGTTTTTGCGGTATTCAATTTGTTGCGGTTCTCTACTCATCAACCTCTCCTTATTTAATTTGCATCTCCTTATTCAGTTTTCAATTTATCATCTCACTTCGCTTCGTTTGTTTGTTGCTTGTTTGTGTAAAAGGCAAATTGCATAACAATGTTGTTTATTTGTTGTTGTTGTTTATCTCTGGTTGGTGTTGTTGTTGCTGCTAAGTTTCGTTTTCGGGTTTTCTGAGGTACTTGCTAGGGAATCTCGAAGCTTTCTCATTAACTCTAGTTTCTTCTGCGTTTGCGTTTCGTTTGCTCTTGCGTTTGGTTGATATATAGTATTCATAATAATAGTGTTACATATGCATGTATATAATATATAAGTGGATCGATTATAGAGAATATTATGTGGAAGTTATCAATAAAACACACGACACACATTAATGAAACGACGCTCTTGTTCGAAGAAAAACAACTCGATATGCTGCTATACTACTTCACATATTTCGAGGGTATAGAAGCTACAGCTGTGGTGTTTGTGTGTGTGTGAGTGTGGGTGTGGGTGTGGCAAGGTGTGGATGTGCCACAACTTGCCAAAAGGGTAGCCTGAGCACTGTACACCCAGCTGCGTGTAGGAGTGCTGTACATTTATTGCAGTACTATTTAAAAAAATAATAAAAACTAATGCTAGCAGAAGTGGTAATCAATGTAATCAATGACCCATGCGATGACTTCCGAGTCCCGATGAGCGGGATCCCGAAAAACTAACTGAGAACTGGCGACGAGAACTGCAGGTCGGGGACTTGGACTCGGCTCAATGTTGCCGGCGTACTTTACGTGTTGCTGCTGTGTTCGATGAGGATGATGTTGCTGCTGTTGCTGTTGCTACTGTAGCTGCTGTTGCTGTGGTTGCTGGTGTATCGTCACTGCTCGTGTGCAACATGGAGTTGTTGTGGATGATAGTCTGCTGCATGAGCAGCATGAACCACCAGCACTGGGTCAGCTGCAGTTGCTGCTGCTGCTGCTGTTGCAACTCTTGGCTCTGCTCCGGATGGTCGTCAACTGCCTCGCCCGAGGCCACGAAAGATCTGGGAATAGAAAGGGATATGCCACCATTAGTTTAAAGTTCGCTACTCGGCAGAGAGCTCTGAATTCGGCATCCGGCATCCCGGCATTTCGACTCACTCGAGCGTTGAATCATTCATTTGGGCTCTAGCTCAAGGTCATAACAACACATTCAGTGGTGGTGGTGGTGTGGTGTGTGGTTGGGTGGTTCTTGGTTCCTCGTCCCTCATCCCTCGTCTCTGTCTCTCCTCATCGCCCCTCTCCCCGCCAACTCCCTTGGTCGGCCTACTCAGCCCCATACCATATGTTGGTGGGCGCGAAGTGCGCCGCGTGTTTGCTGGCGGCTACCTGGGCAGGACTGAGCGGTCCAAACTGGCTGTACTGGGTGGGTATCTGGATGTGGGCCGGCAGCGGGTGTGAAGGAATCACCTGTAGAGAGGATCACAGAATTTGTTAGAGAGACATTTACATACTATTAAAGCTGGTTTATCTTATAACCAATCCTTCAATTGGTTACTCACCTGGCGACTGGAGCTGTTGTGCGCAGGAGGCGGGGCCACCACCGCCCGGTTGGCGTACGCGTAGCTGGGCGCCGCCTGCGACACGAACACCGTGGGCCTCCTGTAGATGTCGCCCTGCGCATAGATGTCCGGCTGCAGGAGGGCGGCCGCCGCCGTCGAGGAGGGCGATCCGCCCAGCGGAGTCCCGGCCTGGTGGTGTCCGTGGTGGTGCCCGTGCCCGTGGCCGTGGCTGTGGTGGTGCGGATGGGGGGCCACGCTCGAGGGCGGCGGCTGGGAGGCGCCCGGCAGTCCCACGCTGCCCGGCGGCGGCTGCGACGGCTGGCGGTAGACCTGCGGCGGACCCCACGAGGGCGGACCCACGCTGGCCGCCGCCGCCGCCGCTGCAGCAGCCGCAGCTGCGGCCGCCGCGCTGATCGAGGACGAGGAGGAGGAGGAGGCCGAGCTGCTCTTCGAGTGGGCGAGGGGCGGGGCCACCGCGGGGGCCACGTAGCTGATGGGCGCCACCGAGGGCGCCTCCCGCTTCGGATGGGCCAGCGGCACCGCGCCGCCCGCGGAGGTGGGCGCCCAGGAGGAGCGCTTCGTGTCCAGCTGCTGGGAGGTGGCGTACTCCGGGTAGAACTCGGCCGGCTCCTGCTTGGTGGGGATGTGCGGCAGGCTGGCGGCAGCAGGGGGCGGCGGCTGGCTGGCCACTTGTGGCTGGTAGCCGCACTCGCTCTGGGCGGCCATCGCCAGGATGCGCTTCTTCTGCGACTGCCCCGGCTCGTACTTGATGCTCGTCTGCTGACTGGGCTGGGGAAGCACCTGCTGCGGCGGCGCCTGCTGCTGCGGCTGGTACTGCTGCGACTGCTGCTGCTGCGGCGGAGGAGGAGCCACCTGCTGGGATTGCTGGTGATGGTGCTTGGGACTTCCCACGGCGGCTGCGGCGGCGGCGTGGTGGCGACGGCGGGCGTCCTCCGGATCGTGGTCACCTACGGTTACGCATGGAATTACTAGCTGGACGTGCGGAGCCTTGTGGCTGAGGCGACTGAGATGCGACAGGGATTGGGGATTGGGAGCAGGGGCACCAAACTGAGCGGCGGATGAGGATGGGGCAATGGTGGAGGTGGAGGCTGAGGAGACTGAGGAGGAGGAGTGATGGAGGGAGTGATGCTGATGGTGGCTGCTGGTGGAAGCGGAAGTGGAACTGGAGATGGAGATGGAAGCAGACGTGGAGGAGGACTTGGACGTGGACGAGGCTTGGTAGTGGGGATGCGTCGCTGATTGATTCTGAAGCTGATGCTGAAGCTGCGATCCCGTTCCCGATCCCGCTCCCGATCCTATTCCACCTCCACTCGCTGGCTGATGAGGCGGGTTGAGATGATGATTCGGATTTAGATGATGAGGGTGGTTCTGATTCTGATTCTGATGGTGGTTCTGGTTCTGGTGGTGGTTGTGGTGGTGGTGGTGACTACTGCTACTTTGGTGGCTACTGTGGCTACTGCTATGGCTACTGCTGTGCTTGCCAGCGCTGCTGCCGCTGCTGCTGCTCAGTTGGTTCTGATTCGGATTCTGATTCGGATTCTGAGTCTGGGCATTACCATAAATCTGCTGCGGCTGCTGCTGCTGCGTGTGCTGTTGCTGTTGTGGCTGCTGCTGCTGATGATGCTGCTGCTGGTGGGCGCTGCTGCGGCTGCAGGAGGAGGAGCTCGGAGCATGCTGCAGCAGGCTGCTGCTCGTCTGCGACTGGGCGTGCGCCCGCTGCTTGAGCACCGGCACCTGGGAGCCGCCCCCCTCGCCGCCCTCGTCCTCGCTGTCGGAGATCGTGATGACCGCCGTGGGCGAGGGCGTGTCGTGGATGGTGATCGTCGGCTGCTTCACGTGCTGCGGGTGACCCACTCCTCCCTGCTGGTGCGGCTGCTGGGCGTGCGGATGCTGCTGGTGGGCGTGGGCCGGCGGCTGCTGGTAGACCACCGCTCCTCCGGCGCCTCCGCCTCCGGCGTTGCAGTTGCCCACGACGTGGTGGCCCGCGGAGGAGCTGTACGGCTGGGCGTGCGCCACCGGCACGTGGTGGTGGTGCGACGAGCTCGACGAGCTTCCGTTCACAATGTCTGCGGGGATAACACTGGTTAATAAATACTTTACACTAGAGGAACTCTACGTTTCAGTTTCCATTTCCATTTCAACTGCTTCTCTTCAGCTTCGAAATGGAGATGGTCCTGACTGATGATGAATTCGGTGATCCATCTGCACTCACTGCTAGAAGAGGCGGCCGAGGAGGCCACCACCGATCCCGCACTGGCGCTGTATCCGCCTCCGCCGCCTCCGTAGTTGCAGTTGTGGTGGGCGTGGTACTGCGGCGACACGTGGGCGGTCCGCTGGTAGCGCTGCTGGTGCGGCGGCGAGCTCTCCTTCACCCGCTTCTTAACCGGCGACAGCTGCTGGTGCTCCTTCTTCTCGTGGCGCGGCACGCGGTAAGAGTTGCCCTTGCTAAAAGCGGTTGGGAATTACAATTCGAATTAGATTGAAACAGACAAAAGGCAATCCAAACGAGCACTCACGCTATGTGGTGAGCCGGCGACTCCTTCTTGAGATCGTTGCGTGGCAAGTTGAGGTGGTGCTTGGGGTAGATCTCCTCCACGTTGAAGAGCGGCGTCGAGTCGACGATGAGCGAGTGGGCGGGCGCCTGCTGCGGCCACGAGGGCACCAGGGCCATCTGCCTGCCGGTCTGGGGCCAGGCCACCCCGCTCGCCTGGACGCGGTTGGTGAGCAGCATGCGCTGCCCGGAGGAGGGCTCCACCATGGACACGGGAACGGGCACGTTGACGTACTGCTGCGGCGGCACCTGCAGCGGCGGCTGCATCGTGGCACTGCCCACCACCACGTGCTTGGTGGGACTGGGCATCGCCTGGTATGAGGGCGGGCACAGGATGTTCGAGACCAGCTGGTGCTGGAAGCTGTCCGTCCTCGCAGGCGGGTACTGCCTGGCCACGCCCCTTCCGTTGTAGATCTGGTAGAGGCCCTCATAGGCCAATGGTCTTCCGTCGCGCACCAGTCGCTGCACCTGGCTGGTCAGCTGGTTGTTGATCGTGAACGTCATGTTCTCCGTGCTCGAGGGCACGAAGTTGGTCACCAGCGTCGACGCAGGTTGCACTCTGTAATAAATCGAATTATAATGGGTTAATACGGAATCAATCTGGTAAGGAACTCTTATAGCTTACGTGTGGAAATCGCCGCGGCGGCAGACCTCCATCATCTGGACGGAGGCCTTCACGTTGTTGCAGTAGACGTAGTCCACCAGATGGGTGAGCCGCGTGAACGAGTGGTTGAGCGCCTCGGCGGGCGTGAGGCGGCGCTCCTGGTCGATGGTCAGCATGCGCTTCAACAAGTCGATGAACTCGCGCCGGTCCGTCTTCTCGGCGAGCAGCTGGCCGCCCTCGAGGTCGGTGGGCACGTTCACCTGCCCGATGTCGTCGAGGCAGTTGAAGATGTACTTGCGCGCCTCCTTGCTCTTCGTGTTCGTCTCCGCCTCGTGCTCCTCGGTGGTCTTGAGCCGCCAGAAGGGGTACGTCGAGTCGACGTCGCGGTAGAAGAACTTCGAGGTCTTCGAGGCGCTGTTCAGCATGTGCTCCGTGGGCAGGCCCTGCGTCTGCGAGATGTACCGGATCTGGTCGAACTCCGAGCTGCCCGGGTAGAGCGGCCACCCGAGGAAGAGCTCCGCCACCACGCAGCCCAGCGACCACATGTCGATGGCCTCGCAGAAGGGCAGCCCGAGGATGATCTCTGGTGCGCGGTAGTAGCGCGACTGCAGGTACGTGTTGCACACCGTCTTGCTCACGTGCGAGGCGCTCCCGAAGTCGATCACCTTGACGCGGTACGGCTGGCGCACCGGGTCCACCAGCATGATGTTCTCCGGCTTCAGGTCGGCGTGGATCAGGCCCAGTTGCTTCAGCTTCAACAAAGCGGTCAACACCTGAGGAGGAAATAAGTTTAGTTAGTTGCAAGTTAAAGTAGTTTCCGTTTAGGAGGAACTAACCTGCTCCAGGATGGGCCTGATGTACTTCAGCGGCAGCGGCGAGAACTTGTTCTGCTTGAGGAAGTCGTAGAGGTTCTGCTCCAGCATCTCGAAGACCAGGCAGGTGTGGTTCTTGTGCTGGAAGCACTCGAAGGCCCGCACGAAGTTGAACTCGTCGGCGTTCTCCTGGCTCAATCGCGAGAGGATCGAGACCTCGATCTGGCCCTGCCGCGCGTACGAGGGGTGGTTCTTCAGGATCTTGATGGCCACGATCTCGGAGGTGCCGCGCTTCCAGCACTTGACCACCTGGCCGAAGGTGCCGCGTCCCAAGAACTCCAAAACCTATCGTTGAATAAGGGATTAACTGGTTAATCACTGAATAGAATGGGTGGAAATAAGCATAGTACCTCATACTCCGCCGAGAGGGAGTAGAGCACCTCGTGCTGCACCAGCTGGTAGTCGCCATCCGCTCCACTGCTCGACCTTTTGCTGGGGGGCTGCGTGTTGGCATGACCCCCCGAGGTCGCGACCTTTGTGTGCGCCGTCTTGAGGCTGTTGAGGTGCCCGCTTTCCGCTCCTGATCCCGCTCCCGTTCCCACTCCCACTCCCGATCCTCCAGATCCCGCTGCTGCTGACGAGTCCTGCTGCACTGGCGGGCCGTGGCTGGAGTTGTATGAGTCCACGCAGCCGCAATCACAATCTGAAATTAGTTGGAAAGAGCATTCATTAGTGATCGATCTAGTTGGGGTCCCTGCTTAAGTGGGAACCTCTTCTAAGTAATTTTCTTATGACCAAGGAGATCATTGTTCCCTCTGTGCGAATCTCTTCCGCTTCTTTGTGGGGGAAATTCTCCTGTGCCGTGTTTTTTATTCGGTTTCAGGCAATTTCGCTACCGCGCAATCTTAACGTAGAAATGCAACTGAACGCAGTTCCCGAGAGCCATTCATATACCCGTATGGCAATCGCATATAGAAATATAGAATCCGTATCTGCGCACTCACCACAGCACTTGCGACTTGTCACCGCCCCCAACAAAGCCGAAAAAAGGAAAGCATTATGGGAATTGGCCAACAATACTGAGATGACTAAGTGAATTCGAGTGACAGGGAAGCGGAGACATCGGGCAGACAATGAGGAAGCTGCTCCGATAGCATTTATCCATTCAGAACAAAGAGCTTAGAGGTAGACGTATCCAACTAGTTACAGATTAAACAGATGGGGAACCTGTTGCCGATCATAGATGAGTTAATTCCTATTTATAGTTATTAACAAGGGGATCCAAGAACTTTTCCCTCATTATCCAGCAACCTACAATTATGGCAAACACATGGCGAGTTTCCTGCCAATCCATCCATCCACTTCCTTCCGTCGACTTCCCCGTAGTCAGGCAACTAAAAATAGGAGCAGTTAAGTAGCCCACTCCGTAACAACCGACCAGCAACCTCGACTGCGACTGCCGCTTCTTCACGTGTATTCACATAACTTAATTAATTTACGTCAAAGGACATTCGATATGAATGGGAGCAAAGGGCACGAAAATAGCGAAAGGCGGCAGCCCACGCACTCCTGGTCAATTATAACCGTTTGGGGAAGGAGCTGTTTCCCGGGTTTCCCGGGGTCATAGGAAGGTTCTCGTGGGCGTGGCTGGCCTGCCCGGGAAAAGGAGAAGGTATAGGAGCAGGGAAACCGGACATCGGAGTTCGGAGAGGAGAGAATGGCAATCAAAGCCCAAATTAAGGACACACGCGATGAAAACGGAGAAGGTGGAGAATTTATGGCGCAAACTTAAGGCGACGGCAGCAGCGGCAAACGAAATGAAAACTAAATGCAATAAATTATGCAAAATGGAGCGACGAGAAAACCGAAATCGAAATGGAAATGGAAAGGCAGGCGGCCAATGGAGGTCACCGCGAAGGCAAGAGTCAAGAGTCGCCGGCGGAGGCAGCGAAGGTCAAACCGAAGGTTGCCCAGTTTCCAAGCCTCGTCAGCCTTCTTCGCGCCCCAAATTCGATTGCTCTGCCTCGGAGAGGTTCTGCTCCTGGCAAGGACTTCTTGCACAACGCTCACGTGGCAGCAGCACAAGCTGAATGAACGCCTGCTGCCACCAGCAACAAGTTACGTGAAAACACTCGGAGAAAATAGTTGATTCCTCTGAGAAGTAACCTTCCGAAGTGAGACTTGTTTTACTGTACAAAACTGATTCGAATTCCCTGAGAGTTGAATGGAATATCTTATTCGTTTTATCAATCATATCATCTAAATGAATTCCTCTATTTTCCTTTGCTAGTGCACATCCAGCACAAAAGTTTGCCAGTGCTTTGACATCATTTGCCCCTCGGGTTACACAACGCTGCATCGCCAGATGAGGGAAAAAAAATAATAAAACCGATTTTGTTTACGCAAATCTCGGCAGCAGAAGCCGAAGGAAAACCGGGGATGCGGAGGAGGAGGAGATGCAGCCACATCGGTGGCAGCGTCAAAGTTGCAACGTGACGCAGTTTTAGCGAACAAAACGAATCCGAATCCGAATCTGAATCTGCGCTGCCTGCGGTTTCTATTCGCAGTCGCACTCGTATTTGTGTTTCAGCTTCCCCCTGCGTTGCGCTGCGTTTTGCAATTTGTGTGTCTGTTGCATAAAAGAGCCAGCCAACTGTAAATGGGGGTGGCGGAAGGGGCGGGATGCATGCGGGGGTGCATGAACCCAAAAGGGGGCGTCGTATCGAATGATTTGCGGGGGCGTTTGCCCGATGCATTCGATCAACTCTCAGAGGTCCGAAATCGAATTGCTGGCTTTATTTGTGCAAACAAGAAGTTGCGTCTTTGAGTTCGGTGATATCTTCTAATGGAAATGGAAAGGGGACTCCACTCTTTGGGGTTGCAACAATGCGAAACTTCTGCCATTTCTCTTGGGGAATAGGAAACATTTTGTGTGTATTTTTCATAAGAATTCCCAAGACTTCTCCTGCTTTTCCTACTAAATTTAAAGTCCCCGATTGCCCCTTTTAACCCCTTGGTGGGTAATATCGCACTTCGGAGTACAACCAAGTGGTTCCCAGTCACTGCTATCGCCAAGTTGTTATCGGGTGTTATCGGTTAATGGTCGATCGCACAACAAGTTCACTGCGGGTTCTACGCAGAAACCCAATAAACTGATAAACACCCTGGAATTGTGCGACTGGATGGAACAGGAAAGTGGGTTGGCCTCGAACCGAATGGCTTGACTTGGCAAAGGGTTTTGTTTTCACGGATCGTTCCCGTAATTGTAGTCATCGTGTTGCACAATAGCCAGCTCATCTGGCCAGTAAACAATTATCCGCCCACGTGCTGTAATTGCTGAGCATTCGATTACGCCATTTTGGGGAGGCTGTGTGGGAAAGTCGGATGTTGCACTGGCAAATAAATAATTATAAATCGTCAAAAGGAAACCGGCAATAATTCAGAGAAAGTTTCGAGAACTTGTGGGCTTCGTGGCGGAACTCCACTTAATTCGTATGCCGCGTTGGCTTTCAGCAGCTTTATGCTTTTCAAAACAGAAATGCAAATTCACCACCTAAGTTTTTGTGCCTTTGTGGAAATGCAGCCGAAAACCTTGCAGCGGAAGTTAAACAAAGCGAAAAACGAGCATAATTGCACACCAGCGAGAAATTCAAAATAAATTATTTACAAAACGGAAGCGGAAAGGCGCTAAATGAAAAAAAAAAAAAAAATGAAAAAGAGGTAAGGCAAACGGGCTGAAAAACAATAACACAAACGCACAAGAGTTGTGAGGGGGAAATGGTTTGGATGGAAGCAACAGGTTAGTTGGCTTCGAACCAACTCGTCTGAACTCCGGCTTTTGCTATATAGCTATATGGTCCGGAATCTATAGCTTCTCCTTCCCCCGTTGTTGTTGTTTTTGTTGTTATTGTTATTATTGTGTTGCTGCTGCAGTGCGTTTGCCGCATATTAAATGCGATGATTAATCGACGCAAACAATAAACAAGGAATGGGGAAAAAACCAGAGAGCAAGAAAAACTGGGACGAGACCCGGGAGGAGCTTACACTGAGAGCAAAAAGTAAGTATTAATGCATGCCTCAGGGAAACCAAAATACACGATAATGAGTTACTTTCAAAAAGAACTAAGCACTTTATGAAGTGGGCAAGGTGGAGCAACAAAAATTGAACGTTTCCATATGGTAATTACGTTATTTCAGCAAGAAAAACGATCGAAAAACAGGAATTAAGGCAGTAACTGTAATACTATAATTTCGTTTTCGGTGCACGGCGTATTTGTATGGCAACATGAAGAGGGGCTGGAAAAGGGGGAGGGGATTCGTTTCGGGTGGAAAAGCGGGGGAAGGCAGTATAAATATTTGTCGCTGCAATGAGAGCAATGTACGGGCAAGCATTTCCACTTGTCAACGCACCTGACGATGCCAACAAAAGCAACAACAACAACTACAGTAACAACAACAACAGAAAGAAACAACAAAGGTGGCACCTACAAAACACGAACCTACAGACACGAACAAAACGAAGAAAACAAGTTCCAAAAGCAGCAGCAGCAGCAGCAGCGACAATTGCTCTGCCAACAATGTTGCCGGCGACCTCTCCTCCCCTTTTGGCCCCTCCTCCCCTACGCCCCTTTTACCCCCCCCTGCAATCAGTATGAAATGGGAGCAGGCAGAACGTGCAAGAACAACGGAGAAAGTTGCGATGAAATTCGAGAGGAGAGAGACGTGAAGACTCAGAAGGCTGAGCAATTACCAGTAGCTTTCGTGATTCTTCTGCTTCTTCTTCTGCTGCTACTGCTTCTTCTTCTCATGGCTGGTCATTATTATTGATGTTGCTGATGTTGCTGCGGGGCTTTCCACATGTATGGCCGATGCATTTGCTTTTTATTAAATGTTGATGATGCTGCCACTGCCACTGACTGATGTTGATGTTGTTGCCATATGCTGGTTCTACAGCTTATGCCACATTGCTGCTGATGTTGCTGCTGTTGTTGCTGCTGTTGCTGCTGCTGATGTTGCTGCTGTTGTTGCTGCTGTTGTTGCTTCGAAAGGTATTGCTGTTGTTCCTGCAGCTCGTTGTGCTATTTTACAAATGCGATGCTTTTGTTATTGCTGCTGCATTTGCCAATGTTGCTGCTGTCTTGGTCTAATACTTTTGCTCCACTGCTGCTGTTTCTGTTTCTGATTTTGAGTTTGAGCTGGCTTCTGGTGTTGCTGGTTGTGCTGGTGACTTTGTTGTTACTGCTGCTTCTGCTCATTTCTCGTTGCCTTGCTTCTGCTGCTGGCGCTGCATATTTCATGGCCTGTGTTGCATATTTAACACCCGATGCCGAACATGTTCACATTTGCATACTCAACCCAGCACAACTACAGTGTTCCCAAGCACTAAGCACCAAGCACCACAATCAGCGGATCAACTTCTCGCAGAAGAGGAGAGTGAGCGAGTGCGGGGGAAGAAAGAAGCCAAGATCTTTTAAAATTGAGATAATGCCAAAAATGGCAGTCGTGCAACAAATTGCAGCGACATGTTGCTGCTGCACAAAGAAGCGCGCCGAGAAAATAAACTGTCGCCTTTCTAAAAAACGAGGCAGAAAAAGTCACATGAAAAACTCGGGTACTTTCACAATAACGAGAAAAGGCAGATGTGCAAAAATACATGTGAACGAGAAATTGTTGAAAACAGAGCTTGGTGTTAATATAGAAAAC